ACTGCACCCAGCCTCTTTGTATGTTTTTTAGAATTTTCTTGTATCTCACTAAGCTTCTTTAGAATCAATAATTTGAATTATTTTGGGGGGACTTAATGAATTTTGTTTTGATTGGGATGTGTTGCTGGAAAATTATTCTTTTCCTTGGAAGGTGTTTCTCATGTTTGATATATTCTTACATTCATATCTACATATCTGGTGTAACAGTCACTTCTGCCAGCTTTTAAAATTTGCTTTCATAGGAGAATATTCTTTCCTATAGATGTATCTATGGTATTGGATGCACAGGGCACTTTGGCTTTTATTCTGAGTGTGTTCAGTAGCATGGTCTCTGTATGATTTATTTGGCTGTAAATAGCATCAATAGTACCTGTGATTTTCTTAGTGGCTTAGGGTGCAGTTATTAGTGGAGGCTGTGGTGAAATTTTGCTGGGGACTAGGACACCAAGTGGGCCAGTCTTTGGACCCTGATGGTGGCAGCAGTGGGCCAAGTGTGCCTGTCCTTAGGCTCCAGGGTGGTATATGCTTGCACCAGTGTTAGCAGTTCCAGGCAAGCTGATTTTGGGGTCTCCTGGTGTCTTGGAAGCCAGTAGTGGTAGCAGTGCAAGGGTGGGTGGGTTCTCTGACCCCTGGGCAACTGGTGTAGAATGGGCGATGGCAGTTGTGGGACAATCCTCTGTGTCTCGTGCAGTGCATGCTGGTGTTGGCAGTGGCTGCAAAGGGCTGGACAGGCCAGTCTCCAGGCCTGCAGGTGGCATGTGCAGGTAGGTGCCAGCTGTGGTGGTAGCAGCCGGAAAGGTAAGCCCAACCTCATTCCCCTGGGAGGAGTGTTCAGGTGCCAACATTGGTGGACTGGGCTGGGCAATCCCTTCACTTCCCCTACCCCCCGATTGTATGCTGTTACATGGAGGGGATCAAGGTCAGGCCAATTAGGCTAGTTTTCAGGCCTCCTGATGGTATGTGCAGGTGCCAGCCATGGTAGGTAGGGGCAGGGCAATCCCCAGGAATGCTCACATTGTTGCCCTGCTGCTCAGGAGGACAGTGCCACCTTCATTGTTAGCAGCCTTGGCTGATGCGTGGGAAGTGTGCACGCCACTTGTCCCTCAGTCCTGACGGTGGTAGCCTGTGCTTTGATGGCACTTAGCCTCGGTGCAGTAGCCCGCAGTCACTTGCACCTAAGCACTGGGTGTAACAGCCCATGTTTCTGTTGAGCCTTAGCCACAGCACTGCTGGGCTCTAGGACACCACAGTTTATTGGAGGTGGGCTCTAAAATGGTGCCTTGCTGCAGCTTAGGTCTCAGGGGTTGTGTGGCACCCAGCGCTAGCGCTCTCCCGAGAACAGTGCTGTCACACAATCTCCCAGCAGTGTTAGTTTCCAGTGCCTGGAGAGCCAAGAGACTTTCCCATGGTTAGGATTGCAGGATTCATGGTGGAAATACGGACCACCGAGGTTCTCTTACCCTTTATGCATATTGGGGAATCTCAGCTCCCCACCAATCCTGGCCAAGCCGACTTCCTTCTCCTTCCTTGCTTTAGGTATTTCTTGTCAGTTTTTCTGTTGAATTCCAGTGCCCTCTCTTGGATAATCCATTTGTAGTATGATTAGTCACTATTTCGGTTCTTCTTAGTAGAGAAGGCAAGTACAAATTGCTTCTAGTCAGCCATCTTGAATCCTCTCCCACCTTTTAAGAAACTCAGAAGGGAGTTGATGATTCTGGTCTAATGTGCTTTATCAGGGCTGAACTATGCCTCTCTCTAGTTGCTCCTGGTGTGTGCCTTACATCAGTAAAGGAAAAGAGAGAAATAACAGAGCCAAAATGATAGTGAGCAGAAGAATGAGTTTGGATGGAGAATAAAAGGCAAGGCTGGGCATAGTGGTTCACGTCTGTAGTCCCAGCACTTTGGGAGGCCGAGGCAGGAGGATCACTTGAGCCCAGGAGTTTGAGACCAGCCTAGGCAACATAGTGAGACCCCGTCTCTACAAAAAAATAACAAATAGAAGGGCAAGAAGGGAAAGGTTGGTTGGAAAATATGAGCAAAAGTGCTGAAGTTATTGCTGTTAGAATATATGTATATAAAATTCTCTCTCTCTGTGATAGATAGATAGATAGATAGATAGATAGATAGATAGATAGATAAAAGGTAGACACCTGAGAAGTGCCACTCACTATGGCTTCTGTTACATCTTGGCCCCTGTGCTCTAAGTTGTCTATTCTTGCTCTAGGAACATATTCTCTTTGCCTAAAAATAGACTAGCACCATCAAGCAGTGTATTAGGTCCCTTTTGTTATCTAACTTGTAAAATTCCTGCAAACAAAGAGATGCTTAGAGTAGGAGATTCATTCTAGAGAGAATAACACAATTTTATTAGCTGAGGGAATTTTGTGTTTTGCTTGCTTCCATTGAAAATGTTTGGCTGTGTCATTGATTGGCAAGGAAACAAGGGAGCCTTTCATTTTTAGGAGGGCTTTAGAGGGCAAGCTGGGTGGTGCCTGGTGAAGTGGGTGTCTGCTAGTGAGTGACATTTGGTCTATTTTTATAGTTGGAAACATTCTACCCTTAAGCTTATTGTTTAAGCAGGCAAGAGAGCATGCTGTGCAGTCATGAGTGGAATTTTTATATTTGATCTCAGGATCTGTTTCCTTCCTCATAGTTAAAACCTCCATGTGTTTGGCTTCTGAATTTATAAATATTTTATTAGTTTCAGATTCTCTTCTCAATTTACTTATCTTGACCTTGCAGATTATCCAAAGTCAAGAGATTAGAAACATACCTGGCTAACATCTAACAGTCAATAGTTTGAGATTCAATTCCTTAAATTCTTCCTTTAAAAATCATTATAGCTGCTTGATTCCTTTCTTGTATTTTCCCAGGCTCTTGCAACTCATCTGTAGCATCCTTGCTTGAGCCTTGTCAAACCACTGACAAAGATAACTCAGAGTTATTACTTTTTAAATGTATTTGAGCCAATTTCCAATTTTTTTTTTTGGAGACAGAGTCTTACTTTGTTACCCCAGGCTGAAGTGCAGTGATGTAATTTCGGCTCACCACAACCTCCGCCTCCAGGTTCGAGCCATTCTCCTGCCTCAGCCTCCTGAGTAGCTGAGATTACAGGCATATGCCACCACGCCTGGCTAATTTTTATATTTTTAGTAGAGACCAAGGGATTCGCCATGTTGGCCAAACTGGTCTCGACCTCCTGACCTCAGGTGATTCAGCCTCCCAGAGTTCTGGGATTACAGGCGTGAGCCCTGCCCTGATTATTTTTCTCAAAAGTTTAATTTTTACATTGTGAGAAAATTTTAATTTTTAATTTTTTTTTCATTCTTTATCCAACTTGGGAGAAAAATTTTTGGGAAAAAGTGTCCATAAGTTCAACACCAGAGCTATTTTTTATTTCCTATTTCTACATTAATTCCTAGTGTTTGTCCTCATGCCTACAAATTTTTACCACTTTCAGTGAGCTACTCTATATTCTGTTCTTTTCATTTAACATTTACCAGATTGTCTTTCAGTGATCTATTTTTTTTAATTTCCACTGTCCTTTAGACTTGATTGAATTCCTTTAGAAATTAACATTTAAATGATGTATTAACATTTTGAAACATCTTATTTTCTGAGACTATCATGTTGTGTAACTAACATCAAGATATTTTCACTGTCCCATGTACTTTATATGTCTTAATGTAATTTGTATCAGTCACTTAGTTTCTCTCAAACGTAAAAGTGAGCTTTCCAGAAAGGATATATAACTTTCAATTCATTGCTTATCTGAATTGCTTATTTAAAGTGTAATAGTTGGCTTTCTCCCATTTTTCTCAATCTGATTTTTTAACCAAAATGAAATCATTAGCTTGATTTATGTCATTTTTTTTTTAGACTCACTTTATTATATTTGTCACATTTAGAGACATTTTAAAGGCAATAATAGGCCGGGCGTGGTGGCTCACGCCTGTAATCCTAGAACTTTTGGAGGCTGAGGCAGGTGAATCACTGGAGGTCAAGAGTTCAAGACTGGCCTGGCTAACATGGTAAAACCCCGTCTCTACTAAAAATACAAAAATTAGCCAGGCGTGGTGGCACATGCCTGTAATCCCAGCTACTCTGGAGGCTGAGGCAGGAGAATGGCTTGAACCCAGGAGGTGGAGGTTGCAGTGAGCCAAGATTGCACCGTTGCACTCCATCCTGGGGGACAGAGTGAGACTGCATCTCAAAAATCAACAACAACAAAAACAAAAGCAGTAATAACTTCTAAATAATTTTTAAGTGTACCAGAGTTTATTCTGTCAAAAAAAAATTGTTTAGTGTTTTTTTTTTGTTGTCATGAACATTTGATTTCCTTTTATCATTTTTTTTTCCTTGGCTTGTAATATATTGGAACTGTTAACTTATAATTCTCTATTATGTATGGTTATTATGTATCTTCACTACAGTTTCTAGCAGCTGAGTGATACTCTCTACATATACATTTATTTGATATTGAGGCAAAGTAAAGAATAATTTACATATTCAGAGGATCCTAAAATCACATTTTAGAGAGTTAATTTCTTGTCTAAATCTTTCTCTAGAGTTGCCAGTAAACAGAAAAAGTTAATTTCTCTCTCTCTCTCTGCCTGCTTTCACCTGTGTTTGCTAATAATTATGCGTTAGGAGAAATAGGTGGACAGCAATAAAAATAATATCTAAGTGATCCATAAATAGGTCTTCAAGTCCGTTTTGGTATTTGAAGTACTTAGAGTGTTGCCTGGGACAAAGTAATGAGTCAGTAGATTTTTGTTGAGTAGTTAGATTGATTGATAACCAAGCCGGTCATTAAAACTGTATTGCTCTCTGGGATGGCCAAGTCTAAAATCTCCTTAAATTGTTCTAAATTAAGATTCTGAAGCTCATCCTGACTGTCAAACTGCATTGATTACCACAATATTGGTAATAACAGAGAGTTGTATTGTTTTCTGAGTGATGGATTGACATATATACATGTTACACTTTTGTTTCTGAAGGAAGTAGAAATTCGGAACAAAGACCTGGAGGGACAACTGTCTGACTTAGAGCAACGTCTGGAGAAAAGTCAGAATGAACAAGAAGCTTTTCGCAATAACCTGAAGACACTCTTAGAAATTCTGGATGGAAAAATATTTGAACTAACAGAATTACGAGATAACTTGGCCAAGCTACTAGAATGCAGCTAAGGAAAGTGAAATTTCAGTGCCAATTAATTAAAAGATACACTGTCTCTCTTCATAGGACTGTTTAGGCTCTGCATCAAGATTGCACACACACACACACACACACACACACACAAAAAAAAAATTTGAATATCACTCCTCCAGGAGGAGGATCTTTTGAAAATTGGAATTGTATATTTCACTGTAAATTTTAGAATCCAGCTTGTAGCTAGTTGGGGAAAAAAGAGATGAAAAACTTGAACTACAAATTACCTCCATGTATATTATTGGCCATAGTTAACTAGAAAGTTATAAATAGACACTTAATGCAATCTTTTTTCCTGATATTAGCCAATGGGAGAATTAACAATGTCTGGGTCACATCCCCTTTTTGTGTTCAACACAGTGAAGATTATCTGCTTTTTAAATTAATTTATTTACGATATCTAGAGCTGTGTTTTGTGCAAAAACTTAGTGATGAAAGCCTGTCTTTTGTTGTAATCTGAATAATTTCTCAGGATATTTTTGCACTGCTGAGAAGCAGTGCCATTACCAATTAATTCTTGCCAGGAGTGAGAGAGAGCTGTATCTTTAATTGAAATATACTATAACTGGGTGTATAGAGTTCTTCCCTTTTTTGTGCTGGAAGATATTTCACTCTGGTGACTACTCTGGTACACTCTGATGTTCTCTAATCTTGTCTGTTGTATAGTTTACTTTTCCATATTGATTCCATGTATTTATGAGAAGATACTGTCTCCCATTTTATTACACATTTTAAAGCCAACTAACGAAGGCAGCTGAGTCCCTCAGAAATTTTTCTTTTTAAATTTCTAATAAATTTGACACACAGTACTGAAATACAGCAGCCCGTCATTGACGGTCTGGTCTAGCAATGTTAAGTATATTTACAGAATATGCAGTTACATTTATTTATATATTTTGCAAGAAATCTTTTCTGAATGATCAATGCATTTCAATTTACGAATAATAATGGTTATTGGGGAACTGTTTATTATAGATAATTTTAAGGTGTATAGCTATTTTAAAGGGGATCCATTTACATCAAACAGCTGATCAGAGGACTCTATCTAAATTGTGATCGTGGCAGATAGAGATGGAGTTGTGTACTCTATCTGGCTCTACACATCAATCACATCTTGATTCAAACCTCACAAGGCAATATTCTGAACTGTTAACTAGGTATTTCAAAACAGGAATTAAATTCAATAGGCTCTTCTCAGTGAACAGGTTTTAATGTTGTTTTGATGTAATTTTAAAAGACTTTTAGCAAACATGCATTTCTTTATATATTTCTTTTATGAAGCTATTTTAAAAGTAAGCCAAGTGCTGTTTAGTCTGCTTATAAAGTAGGAATTGCATCAGAGTACATATATTCTTGCTGTACAATGCCTGTGATGTTGAGGAGGGTTCTTTTTTAAAGTGTATGCTTGAGTATCTGACTCTATGGAGTCTATAAATGCACTGACTTCTTGTTTGTACCCCAAAATGATCGAATTGTTAAGTACAAAATTAAGCTAATTAACCAATTTGTAACCATTTTTTCACTCATAAACGGCTACTCAATACTAGACAATTTTGTTTTTTATGTATGTGTATGTACGTAAATACATACATATTAATTTACATTAGAGTGAAAAATAAATGGTTTGTTTCTGAAGTTAGTTTCTAAAGTGAGTTTTCAGGTGTCTGGAAAATTTATAACAAACAATCATCATGTATTATATGTGCTGTAACATCATGTACGTTATCTCCATCTCTTTTAGGATATTTTCCTCTCCTATTTATTATAGGGAGAATAATTTAGATACACATGCTCAGAGCTGAGATATTTCTCTGATAAATCAGGTAACAAAATGTATTTGATTGATGGAATTTTGAAGTAAATGTGATTTTATCCATCAGTTTCTGAGTAACAAAGAGCACCAAGTTTTAATTTAAATAGGGGATTTAACACCGGGGATCAGGGAGTTTAGTTATGAAGAGTTAAAAAAATTAAAAACCAGTGTAAGCTGTTGAAATGGCAAGTGAATTATTTTAATGATGTAGTAAAATATTTTTAAATTTTGACATAGTGATCATTTAATGAAAAAACTCACCAAAATGTCTCCATTTGAATTGTATTGATAATGTGGGACATATGTGTAATTCAATATATACATATACCCATATGTATATACAGAAAATTATTTTTAATACTTTCCTACTGATATGAAATTTAAAATTGGAAATTTTGTGAGTGTTTTTCTTGTCCAATAGAGCCTAATTGTTTCCTTTTTTAATGATTTAACAATCTCTTGAGGGCTGCACCTTTAAATTCCCAGATTGTCAATAGACATGTACAGTATATGGGATAAGGTGGACACAAGTGCACATATATATAAAATCTTCTTAAGACTTTTAACTATTCATTTACAGTAGGAGAGTATGTAGAAATCATCATCCACAAGTCATAATTAGGTTGTGTGCCTACTGTAGCTTTTTCCATTTCTGTATTATATAAACATTTGCATATTAAAATTTGATTTTTCCCAGAGACAAGTATTATATACTGTATCTGTATTGAAATCAAACTGTGGTAATATATTTCTCAGAAAATAATGTTGGGGACTGTAGCCTGAACATGTGGACTTGAAGCGACCTGGAGGAGGAGGTTGATCCCGTTGTGTATAAGTTGATATGTGATAACTCTCGAATCTTGTACAAAAACAAAAATTGAAAAAAAAGAAAAGCAAAAATACAGTTTTTATTTTGAAATACATTTGTTCTCTGGAGAATGTACTTTATCTTTTTTTCCTCCAGTCTTTTACAGATATTTAAAAGCATTTAAATGATGACAGCATTTACTTAAATCTTTCAGGTGCTACTGGATTTTGCATTAGTGTGTTATGTTGTGAAATCCTAACTTTGACATAAAAGGTTTTATAAGTATTCCCCTGCCTGGAAAATTAGTTTTTGTTCTCCTCTCTCTGTCTTTCTCTTTTCCACTTTCTTTCTGCAGACTAAAACATGCTCATGAAGTTGCATCTCTCCTTGTCTCTGTAGAAGATCTCCAGTACCATCATAGATTTGATGTTCTGCTGTCATTGAACTGTTGGGAAGCAGTTAGAGGAAAAACTCACTTTTTTTTTCAGGTGGAAATAAAAGGAACACTCAAAATTAAGCCACCACCACCACTACCTTTAAAAACTAGTTTCTTTGCCCTGTTAAAATTAAATGTATTCTTTAACATGTGGGCTACAGTCTCCCATGTTTTTATTTAACTCTGAAGTATATACACTTCAGTCACTTATCTCCTTGTGGTCCTGATTTTGTCAGTAGTGGAATGGGAGGCAGGTTGGCGAAAAGTTTGTTTGATGGCAGTGGATTATTATTGTTGTTTTAATCATTGCATTGATTTGATATCAAATGATTTTTACATCCTGAAATTCTGTGCTCGAAGTCATGAAATGGTTTTCATTGAATTTTTGCCTCCTAAATGTATAGCATGAAGTAAATTAATTTATACAAAATCTTGAAGAAACCTTTTGGGTAAGAAGTAGTTGAGATTGACACTTTTAGAAAATTTCTCAATTTCTAAATTTAGAAATTACTGGAAAAGGAAAGGATGTGTAATTCACCTTACTCCAAATTGTGAAAGTGTATTTTTCCTAATATTCATGTTAAACTTTACGTTAAAATTTTTATGATAGTTTTTCTTCATGAGAAACTGATATATAGATGTCATGCAAATACAAGCAAAGTTACTGAATTAAAGTAGTGGGTACTTAGCATTTTTTGTTTATATATTACCTAGTACAACAGCTAAAAATCATGTCCCAGAAAACTCAAAAACTCAATCAGCAGTACACAGCCTAGTGGTTTCCGCTTAGTACACTAAATAGAAAAAAAAAAAAAATTAAGTTATTTTTACTAAAAACATGAACTAAGGAGAAATTGCGTCTGGACTAGAATAGACAGAAGGCCACAAACTCCTAGTCGACTTCTTGTCAAGTCTCTGATCTCTGTAAGGACCTCTCCTTTAGGTTAAAGGACACACCGCTCGTCGGCCTTTTGGCTAAGATCAAGTGTAAGTTAAAGGACACATTCTAGAAAACACCAAGATTATATCTGGGTGGGAAGAGGATGTATTTTGTGAAAGCAGATGCAGAAAAAAGAACAGGAACGTGCTGCCTTCAGTTTTTATCTAAGACATATTAGGATAGCCAGAGACAAAGACCAACTATCTCCTACCTTGCTGCTGCTTTTAACCAAACAGACTGAGATGGCACTAATGAGTTTCAGAGACTTTCAGAAAACCCTGTCACGTGTCTTGTCAGGATTTGTAACCCCATATAAGACACGTGACATTCAGAACTCACCATTTTGTGGGGTTCTGACCTACCTTTTTTTTTTTTTTTTTTTTTTTTTTTTTGAGATGGAGTCTCACTCACTCTGTTGCCCAGGTTGGAGTGCAGTGGTGCGATCTCAGCTCACTGCAACCTCTGTCTCCCAGGTTCAAGCAATTCTGCCTCAGCCTCCCGAGTAGCTGGGACTACAGGCGCCTGCCACCACGCCTGGCCAATTTTTGCATTTTAATTAGAGTCGGGGTTTCACCATGTTGCCTAGGCCACTCTCAAACTCCTGACCTCAAGTAATCCACCCGCCTTGGCCTCCCAAAGTGCTGGGATTACAGGCCATGCCCGGCCCTGACCTACTTTTGTCAGTTGTTTTCATATCAAATATACCCAGGGATAGAAATATTGCTCTGTTTTCTTCTAACAACATGAAGTGAAGATAATGGGTGCCTAATAAATGCAAATATAAGGCCATTTCTGTAGCACAGAAAAATGTCTTTTGTGTTTTTTTATCAACATTCATGGTTTTTCTCGTTATCTGTGTATTATAACTACATTACTATATACACAGATATATTGTCAGTCACTCTATATGTCTTGTGGATATGACTTGATTATTCTACCTTAATGTATAAAGAATGACTATCTCAGGAAGCATGACTAGAAA